CGACAAAGACGTCTGTCAGCTCTTGCATCAACCTGACTGAATGGCGCGCTACTACATTCACGAATGAAGAAAACGGAAAAGAAAACAGAACAATTCTTATTATAGCTCGAATTCTGTGTATTACTCAACTTCAGGCTAGCGTATCTTCCTGTTGGTTACAAGACTTCATCGTGCAGAACTAGTTTTGAAAGATCTTCCTCAGAAAAATTATCATAAATTTGATATGGTCATTTTTTAAAGATAATTGCAAAGAAAAAAAAACACATAATAGAAATTAATTTCAGGACTGAAAACTATACCGAAAAACAAGCCATCGGCAGAATATTTCCTCCAGGGACAAAATGGAATTAGAGAAAAAAATATTTGTTGAAGAGGCCCAAGTATGGAGAATGGGCTGTTATTTTATACGACTGTGGCAAGGTGGGGTACCAGTCACAGCTACACCCAGATGACGGTGCTCCTGCTGGCCAGGAGGCCAAACTAACACTCTGTCAAAGTCCTGCTGCACTCTGGGAAGTGCCCAACCTCTCCCTAAAGTCATCCGTTTACCTGATGTACACACTCTAGTATTAGTATACAAAACACCTAAAGATGTAATGACATTTATACCCCAGAAATCACATGCATCTCAGCACGTAACATTTTACGCACAGTTATAGAAAATGTGGCTAGAATTTCTCCTTTGGTCCAGTAAACCTGAGCATGAAGTCTGTCAGAAGCAGGACTGGGGGGTTTCTGTGGCATAACTGTACGTGTGAAGCACCCACAGCCCCCCCACCACCGTTTGCCAAGATGCCTTAAAAGCATATCCAGGTCTGTGACCGGTCCGGTTCACATGCATCCAGCTACCCACCTCTGCTCCTGGCTCGACACAGCAGAATATCACTGATATGTAGGATATTACATTACACTTCACTTACATAATAATATTATATTACAGTATAATTGCCTGTGAGACAAATTTGCCACCATCCCTTTGAGTAACAGTTAAATGTCTTCAGTGCAATATTACTGTCAGCTCAGAAACAAAAACTTTAGATGTTTCACACAGACACACACGTCTGTTTTCATATCTTTGTGGGGACTCCCCATTCAATTCTATGAGAAAAATCCTAATCCCAATTATGATGACCATAACCCCTACCCAGCCCTAACTTTAACCATAAGCAACCAAACAAAATACAAGACTTTTGGCACTTTTAGTTTTTTGATTGCATTCACAGATTCTTATAAAATTGAGGTTTATATTGTGGAACCAAAAAATGTTCCCAAGCTGGAAAGTAACAGGTTTTACCTCATTATGGGAAGAACATTTGGTCCCCACAATGTTATAGATACAACCCCCCCCCCCCACACACACACACACAGAGCCTCCAAGTTCCAACAGGAAGGGCCTTGAGTACGCATTAAGGAATTCTCGCTCTCCCCCCCCCCCCCCCAAAAAAAAGAAATTCCTTCAGTGTTTTTGTGTTTTTCAGGCTGTGCCGTTACAGGCTTTCATAACCCCATCTGGCAATGTGGAAGGAAGAACACTACAGGTATTAAAGATCAGCTCCCCAAGTCCGTCACACTGCCTCACTTCTCCAACTTCCCTGCTGGGGTGGGGGGGGGTTCCCCATGGTGCATTGACCAGGAGCAGCTTCCGGCCAACACGGCACCAGGGGGGCCAAGCGGGCAGCGCAGTATTTAAGTGGCTGATTTTGGGGGGGCTCCCCATTTGCTGATTAAATTTCCTAGTTCCGGAGTAAACAGAGCAGAAACCAAACCGCATCAGAGTCTGCCCCCACATGACATGGTGAATTATTTCCAAATAAACAAACACCATGATGAAGTCAAATTGGGTCTTAAATAAGGGGTTTTAGACACAATCTCCCTTTTAGTACAAACAATCAAACAGGAAGAGTGCGATTTAATTTACGTTACTCTGGCCTACATTTAATGCCACCTGAAGAAGGTCAATTTTAGATATGGACTGAGTATCTACAAAAGATAGACTGCAGCAGTCAAGATAATTTTGTCATTGCTCCTGAAAACCTGAACGCTTCCTACATACTAATATAGTACAGACAGTATTTTATTAGCAAGCCCCATAAGGAAGGAACTGGTCTGGTGTTTTACCTCACCTCAGTATGGCTCTACATACACTGGCGGAAGCTGAACACAGATAGTTCGAATGTAATAACTACGCATCCATTAAACACCCTTATTAAATCACAGTGCTGATTTCCCGAACCGCATCCAGGGCAAAGCTCACGGTACACATAAATAACTTTTCCTAAATTAGTGTAGAGACCCAGACTTCGCTGGCAAGGGTCTGTGTCCGTGTCTGGTTTCGACGTACTTCGCAAAGAGCCCAAGCAACCTGCCCTGATAGCTGGAAATCGTTTCCAGATCCATATTGTTAGTATTTGACATCGATTTTTCTGCACCTTTCGGAGCCTCGGAGCCTGTCATGTTCACACACATTAATGCAAACGTCACGGCAATGAATGGGCGGCTGCTGCGGTCGTACTGTAAAGTTCAGCGGGGAAACACGATGTATTTACTCTATACCTTTAGAGATATTTGCTCAGCATTCAGCCACGACAGCATGCCTTTAAATGTGCTTCGCGAGGCGCACTCCTGAATGCCCCCAACACCGCCGCAGTGCCGAGCAATGAAATGTAAAAAAGAGGAAGAAAGAAAAAATTTAAAGTTTGAAATTGCGACAGCAAAAACTATCTTAATGCTGCTTTCTGCCTATGGTTGAACGCCCCTGTCTGATCCAAATCATAACGGGGGCCAGCGCTGCCCCCCCGTACATATGCAAAAAAATAAAAAATCCGAATAGCTGGCCAGCTGTATATGAAGAAAGCGCTTTCCAACGACTTACCTGAATACAGTAAGGCTTTCTCAGCCAGGCCCATGATATCAGACCCCTCGCCATGGCAAAAATAGCACATCTCACCACATCAACCTGCGAAAGAGAAGCTCAATTAGGAACACACTGAACAATTCAATATATGGCTATAATACGTCGATACAGCCACGGCGACATCATCTCGATGCGATATGTCGGCAATCCCAAGGCATACGGGCGAAATGAAGAGTTTCCATTACCCAGCGATTCCCGTCTCTCCCTTCGTTTGCCAAGTCAGTCTCCGCTGGCACCGAAAGCGCCTCCCCGGTTCCTGCTCATTTCTGGCCACTGCAGCTGTGAGCAGAAACACCGCTGGATGTTCGGCGAGCGCCGCCGATAAAGGCGCAGACTCAATTCCTGCCGCCGACAGAAAATGCCTCTTTATGCGCTGACTTGCTGGGACGCAGTTTTAAGAATGCGAGAGCTCCGCTCCCCCCTCCCGCTATGAGTCAAGCCGCAGATATGTCTTATTTAAAAATGAGTGAACTGAAATGTATATAGCCACGTTTTAGAACAAGTATTGATTAAATATATATTTATTTATTTCACCTTGACGGCAGTGAAGCGTTGTAAATAGTTTCTAGTATGTTACTTGAGAAGGGTCAACGTCCTCCGACACCTGTTGGGTTGTATTTTTTATTGTAAAACACGGACTGTAAGGTCTGCACGCTCTTTCTATATCAAAATGTTCCTCTGCACGTCGGATAAAATAGGTTCTTCTTTCTTTGCCATATAACACTCTCTCCGTGTAAGTTTTACTACATGAGAAATACATATCAGATTAAACATTTACAGAATGACTAGACATCGCTGTCGCAATTTTTTCACTTTTAGTTAACTGGTACACCAAGTGAACTCAACCTCTAATCAAAAGGACGGCGAGCCGAAAAGGAGCGTGTGCCACTTATTAATTAATAGCACACAACCCGTGTCGTAGATGTCATAATTATAATTTAACCAGGTTACAGTGCATAATGGATAGATAGATAGATAGATAGATAGATAGATAGATAGATAGATAGATAGATAGATACTTTATTAATCAGAAGACTCGAAAAAATACAATGTAGAGACAATAATACACACGGTAACAGGATAATATGAGAAAAGAGATAATCAGAAACGACGGAGAGACAGAGATACAACATCGCAGCATTCATTTCATGGTTACCTCGTATTACAGGATATCAAACCCTGACGGTACAGCAGCGCCCCCACGTGTTTGCGGGGATCAGCATGGAACTTGCTGATCGCAGAGATGTACGGCGCTTTTTGCAGATTTCGGCGACTTTGCAGTTTCGCCTGGCAATGTCCTGACAGCTGGGGGGTCGTTACTGACGGCAGCGCAACAAATGCCATTACATAAGAAATGCGTTCATCAGTCGAGTAAAACTTTACATTCATTCTGTTCATTGTATTAAAATTCATTATGTTCGCTTGATTTGGAGACTAAAAGAAAATGTAATGTGAACAAAAATGTAATTTTTACTTACTTTCGCCTTCATTTTCATTTCAGTGCAAGTTAAGATTCAGAAGCTTAGGCTCGTTTCTTGGAAGTACTGCACAACGTCACAATGAAGATAAATGACAGACATTTTAATAGTCAGAGTAGGTTTTGAATCATACCGCACTTAGCAAATGTATCATAGTCTCCTCATAAGGAGAACTAACTTTATTGGGTCCGCAAAAGGAGCATTTCCTGTATCTTTCGTACAGCAGCACAACGAATTAACGCGCGTTTCCGTGGTTCGGACACGCATCGTTTAAATGAATGAACGTCTATTCCTACCGGGTTATCGATATTTACGGGGAAAAAATGAAGTTGAACACGAGTTAATCTGTTCTCCCCCCCACTGAGTGCTTCCACAATGGTAGGTCTCCTGTATTTTTGCAAACCATATCGCCTGCTTTCGAAACATCAAGTGACTGGACAATGAATGCAATTCTCAGGTTTAAAAACTACCGCTAATGTTAATAATAGCAGTAAGAATAAAGAAAACAAAGGGAGGCGCGGGCACGCGCCAGCGCTCGCCCGCCGCCGTCGCCGCACACGGAGATGTCGGAGCCGCGGACTGGCTGCCGTGCCTTTTTGCTCTCTTCCCACAATGCAACCCAGTCTCAGCGGGAAAGCAAAATGGCGAACGTGCTGCGCTGGGGGAGGACGAGCCGCTTGTGATTTCCAAAATAAAAACTAACAAACACATATACGATTGTGCATCCCGGGACAGCGCGGCGGAGCTGCTGGCGGAGAACGGAAGCGCGGCGCGGCGCGGCGGTGGGAGGACGCGCATTATCGGTCCAGGCCGATTGTTTTTAATATATGAAGCGTTTTGACCCTCTTAAGTGACCGAATGAGGTGAGTTACATGGCTAACATTTGCTCCGTGTTTTTTTCCTCCCACTTCCCCCCACCCCCTTTGAGCATACTACTCGGTGCATGAAAGAGAAACGTTTCGGTCAGGAAAATGCATGTAATCAGCCGCCGGACGGACGTTTCCCCCACCGGTACCGAAGTTTATTGTAAATAATAGTTTTTATAACAATGATTTGCGCGCATTGGCGGCGTGCAGCGGAGCGCATCCACTCCCAGACGGCGCCCGGCGCCTCTCAAACCCGGGCATGGATGTGCCTTTTCATTGTTTCACCGGCCCGCCTGCAAACAAAAGGCAACTGTTCACAGGAGCAGGAGGACAGGGGGCATCGACACTCCCATCGCCGTAAATTCGGCCATTTATTTCGGCTCGACCGAGGGTCTCCGCCGCGGAGCGCTGCTGACATGTCCGTCCCCACCTTTTATTGTCATACTGTTTTCCTAATAATATCCCCAGTAACTTCCGAAGCATTAGGAATTTAGAGGCTGTATTTACCGGCATCTGCAGCCGAGCTGGCAGAGACGCGCCGCGTTTTCATGCTGTTTTTGTTTTTTTTTGTGCGTTTCGCATGAAAACCGGGGTGGAGAGAGTCCCATTGTGTGCTGTCGGTAGTTTAGCGAGTAAGACAGAGCAGTCATTCCTTAAAGTTTTCCAAGTGTTGCTCTGGCTGAACTGTGTTTGTTTTTTGCCTTAATTATTACTTGTGTTTGCGAGCAGAGACACGGCGGAAGCCGAGAACCTGCCTGCCCATCTGAAAGCGCATTCCCGTAGCCAGCTGAAGTCAGCCTTGTCTCTGGCCAAGGTCTCATTTAAGGATGGGCCGAAGAGCGCCACCAAGCTCGCTAGCAAATTTGAGGAGGGCCAGGATGTCCTAGCACGATGGTCCGATGGCCTCTATTATCTCGGAACAATCAAAAAGGTATTTTTTTTCATAGCCTTCCCCTTAAACATGCGTTGGGCTGTCATGAACAAGGCAGACATCGTTGCTCTGTGTAAAGCAGGCTGTTCCCTGACGTGAGTCTGCATGCTGTCTTCCTCCCAGATAAACAAACACAAGCACCGCTGTTTTGTTGTCTTCGAAGATCGCTCAAAATCCTGGGTCCTTTGGAAGGATATTCAGACAGGTGAGCGCGCCCTGGTCTCCTGCTTTGTGTCTGCCGTGCCTCAGCACCCTGGCCTTTGTGTGTAGCTCTGTGTGTGTGTGTGTGTGTGTGTGTCTCACCCTTTCTATTCATGCCTGTTCATTTTCTCCACAGATAATTCCAGTTGAAGACTGACCAACTAAGCCACTGTTTTTTAATTTATTTTTTTCAAATTTGATTTTTGCTCTGTGATTTAAGTTTGTTTTGGCTCTTATTCACTTTATCATCATCATCAGTAATTATTATAATTATTATTTATTTTCCTTGGTTTAGTTTGATACTGCTCCATTCCGCCTCAGTTATCTTTAATTTATCTCTGACAGTTGACAGGCGTAAGAGTTTCTGGGCTTACACAAACCGTAAGTCCGGCATGGCCCCCGGAGACCAGACTAGGGAAGGTACTCTGAGTGTCTCGCTGTCCGTGTGTGTAACGTGTATCGATCCCCTTTTGGTCCACAGTGTTTCCATGTTCTCTGTCCCATCGTAGCGGCGGTGTGGCCGTGAGCCGCCGCCGGATCCAGGCTGACTCGCGTTCAGCTTTAGCGTTACCAGTGTTGTCCTCCTGTAAATGTCTCGCTGCAGTTTGCAGTATGGTGAATCCATCCTGTTCGCGGCTATGAGTATATGAGTATCTGCCGCTTAGTGTTAGGTTGAGTTTTGGTTTTACGTGCATAAGATGAAGTTGAGCCTTTAGAAAATCGTGGCTTGATGTGCGTAAGCACATGTTCTATCTTTGAACGGTATTTATTTGCGGTACTAGATGTTTTAGGTCCTGTAGCCGTAGGTGCTAGCTGCCTGAGCAGAACGAGCGCCATCTAGCCTGTCCTGAGAGCTCCCTCTTCTGGTCTGTGCCTGTAGGCAGTTTCCTTCCCCTGTTTTGTGCCCCCCCCCCCCCCCCAGAATGTAGCATGACACGCCGTTGTGTGTTGCAGGGGCCGGCGGTGGGGGTGCGGCAGAGATGGTCTGCACCATTTGCCAGGAGGAGAGTTCCGAGGCTCCTAACGAGATGGTCATTTGTGACAACTGCGGCCAAGGTACGTCACACTGCCCCCCCCGTTTGGGGGACTGGGGTGGGTGACCCGCGCGTCCTCATGGCCTCCCCTTGTCGCCCAGGTTACCACCAGCTGTGCCACACCCCCAACATCGACTCCAGCGTGATCGGCTCCGATGAGAAGTGGCGATGTCGGCAGTGCGTGTTCGCCACCACCACGAAGGTGAGGCCCCGGAGGTCTGCGGCCCCCTCCCTGCGTCCGGTGGGGGCCCAGACCTGTCCCGTAAAGACCTCCTCCTTTGTGTGTGTGCTTTACGGCAGAGAGGAGGCGCGCTGAAGAAGGGGCCCAATGCCAAAGCCTTGCAGGAGATGAAGCTTTCGCTGCCGTACGCCCTGCAGGACCTGGTGTGGGACCAGGGGCACAAGACCAACCTGCAGCAGTGTTACTGCTACTGCGGGGGGCCCGGGGAGTGAGTCAGCAGGCCGCCCACAGCCAGACACTCCGGCCACAGCCAGACACTCTGCCCACAGCCAGACACTCCGCCCACAGCCAGACACTCCGCCCACAGCCAGACACTCCGCCCACAGCCAGACACTCCGCCCA